TTTGCTAAATTTCGGCCATTTTGGGTGTTGTAGAATTTTCAAAATAGCGACCTTAAAAATTTTCAAAAAAATGTAGCACGGAAACGGCATTTCTTGTCGAAATTACATTTGAGATAAAGTTTTAGAGAAAAATAATTCCTTTCTGTTAAAAATAAACAGAGCATTTATTTCTCGATTTATTTGAAGTAAAATAAAAAAAATAAAACCTTACAATGTCCTTGTCCGATTTTTGATTTTTTGACGTAGACTAGGTCTTAACGGGGGTAAATCGAAAATATAAAATTGCGACCGTCACAAAAAGCTGTTAGGTTTTGAACGCTTAAAACTTTGTCATTTATAGATGAAATTAAAATCCAAATACACTAATCGATAGGAAATAGCTCTACGAATCTGCTAAAATAAATACTTTTCAAATTTTCCATAATTTTTTTTGAAAAATGTTCGAATAAAAAGTGATAATTATATCACTGTATTCAGGAAAAAAACGTTTTCCCTAATCCAGTCGTCATAATCAAGCAGAAAAACTTCCTCGCAGCCGGACAACCTTGACAACTAGCGGTGGAGTGGAAGGAGACTCACCTCTTCAACTAGTGTGTTTGCATTAAGCGCAATCCACACCTACCCGATATCGTCTGGCGATTTTTTTGTATATCATCGGTTTCATCCAATACTGTCAAAAGTGTTGAAATTTTTCAATTTTGAGATTTTGGTGGCAAATGATGGCAAGTAGTGTGAAGTGTAATCCCACAAAAACCCATTTTGAAATTCGGGAAAAAATCAAAAGTTATAGGTAGATATGTCTTGGCTACTTTTTCATAAAAAGTCAATAAAGTAGCATCAAAGGCTCATTTTGAGCTCTGCCTATGTTGCCCCTATACAAATGGAATTTAATTGTCCCTTTAGCATGTTGTTTTTTTCATTCAATATGGTCACAACTCAAAAAAGTAAACCCAGTTTTGCATGGCAAATGGGCACACTTCAAGTAAAAATCGTTGGATTGTTTATTTTTTGATCTGATATTTGATAGAATTAATGAAACACACTCGATTCAGTCCAATGGAAATTAAAAGATTTTTAAAATTGAAACAACAGCGGTGCCGGTGGTGTAGTGGTAAGGGTGATTGCCTCTCACCCCAAAAGGGGGTTGGGTTTAATCCCAGTCGGCGCCGCTGGGATTTTCTGAGGCATATTATCTCGCTCTCTGATTTATGCAGAGTCGATCGGATTACAGGTATATCAACCGGTGGAAACTAACGATTTAGGCTGTGAACCATTTGCCGAGTTAAATTTAACTCGTGGTTAAAAGTGACATTTCGAAAGTTTTTCTCTATGTTCGAAAATCTCTGTGCTGTCGATCAACTGGTTTTTGAGAAGAACTCAGCCACGGTTATCAAAATTTAACTTCTTGTCTGCCAGAAATAACCACACTCGGATAGCAGGGTTAATCAATAACTTGCCATCTGTCATATTTTAACCAAAAGTTAAAAAAAAATCCACCAAATGGTTCAGAGCCTTAACATTGGCTCACTACTTGACTAGCCTATTGGTCCCAATCATTTGATTCGCTATGAAAGTTTGACAGATAAAATGAGGGTTTCGTGGATTTTCCTATGTTTCGAGGGGTGTATCGATTAGCTTGGGACCGAAGGGAGTTAAGTTGAGCACGTTTCTTCGTCACCTTCTAGTCTTAAAGTTACCTCTTTGGGTATATCTCGATATAACGTAACTGTCACTTTTGACTTCCATCGCCGATTTATCGCAAACGATCATTCAAACAAGCTTAGTAATAACATAGAGGTAACTCTAAGACCACTGGGTCCCGAAGAAAATCATTATTATTTTTGGCTCACTCAGTACCAGAACAACGGTCCCAAGCAGTCCCAAGCTATTTCACTCACCCCTGCATGTTCTGCATGAATCCACACACCCCTGATGTTATCTGTCAAACTTTCATAGCGAATCAAAACAAACCTAGTGTAGTAATAGAATTTCAACTAGAATAGGGTACGTTAATCGTTTGCTTGGGACCAATAGGCTACTAAAGTGGTGAGCCAATTTAAAATCGTTAGTTTCGTATTGATTGTTGGTAATAACATAGAGGTAACTCTAAGACTAGAAGGTCCCGAAATAACGTGCTCAACTTTTTGGCTCAGCTCTGGTACCATAGAGGTAACTCTAAGACTAGTAGCAACAATCAATACGAAACTAACGATTTTAAATTGGCTCACCACTTTAGTAGCCTATTGGTCCCAAGCAAACGATTAACGTACCCTATTCTAGTTGAAATTCTATTACTACACTATGTTTGTTTTGATTCGCTATGAAAGTTTGACAGATAACATCAGGGTTGTGTGGATTCATGCAGAACATGCAGGGGTGAGTAAAATAGCTTGGGACCGTTGTTCTGGTACTGAGTGAGCCAAAAATAATAATGATTTTCTTCGGGACCCAGTGGTCTTAGAGTTACCTCTATGGTTGTACTTCTTTAAGCTAGTACCTCAAATTCTACCTTTCACCAAAACGGCTGGTTTGCATTAGAGAGGGTCTAGTATAAGAGAGGAGCGGACTGGTTGGTATTGAGCCAAACGAACTGTCAAAGCCAGAGCCAATCGAGCAGCGCCTATCTTGATTACATTGGCAGTGTTGCTCGAGGTGTTGCTAGACCCCACCCAGGCATAAGTTGCCAAGGCAGTTTGCTTTGAATCCGCTCTTCTCTTATACTAGATCCTCTCTAGTTTGCATGACTGTGATCGACCATCACAAACTTTTTCATCTCCTTTCTATCAGCCGCTCACTTCCTTGATGATAAGATTCTTCCTGCTTCTATTCAAGTCACCCTTCAACTTGGCAACGACCACATTTCCTTTTCTAGCAATCTTTCATAGTTATATTGGTAGCGGTTCGCCACCCGGCAGACGGTCCTTTTCCCAAATCAATATAACACCAATTACGATATTTTCTTAATTAAATAACACGCGCATAAAACTCACTACAATACCAATCAATCGTCCAAATACTTATCACACATTTTGAAAAAAAAAAACTTATTAGAACTTTAAAAAAAACTCCGCGGAAAAACAGATAAACTCATGACAGCTCATGAAAACTCAACCGTCCGTGGGCTGAGCCTACTGCGATCTACTCGCAAAAATACTTTGGATGCCGGTGTACTTTTGAAAACATTAAGAGCTTCTATTTACCGAGGGGTTCATAAATTTGACCTTTGCCGATCGATGTTTCTAGTTTCATTAGGGGCTGTTCATAAACTACGTAAACCGATTTTTAGACAAACCCCTCCCCCGCGTACACAATCGTCCATACATTTTGTAGTGACAATTTTTTTTTTGGAAATTTGTATGGACCGTAGACATTTTGTCAACCCCACCCCCTTAACTAGAACTTCTGAATGAGTATATAAAAATGGAGAACCTCATGCAAAAAGTGGACTGATTTCAGTGAGAATTACTCATTTTGCACAAAACGACGAGAGCTTTTTCCAATCTGCTCGAATGTTTCAGAGAAAACCATGTTGGAATTTGTTTTATTCACTCACTTTCACTTTAAAAGAGTTAAATGTTACTCATAGAATGTGTTGGGTAATACCATAGAGGTAACTCTAAGACCACTGGGTCCCGAAGAAAATCATTATTATTTTTGGCTCACTCAGTACCAGAACAACGGTCCCAAGCAGTCCCAAGCTATTTCACTCACCCCTGCATGTTCTGCATGAATCCACACACCCCTGATGTTATCTGTCAAACTTTCATAGCGAATCAAAACAAACATAGTGTAGTAATAGAATTTCAACTAGAATAGGGTTCGTTAATCGTTTGCTTAAGACCAATAGGCTACTAAAGTGGTGAGCCAATTTAAAATCGTTAGTTTCGTATTGATTGTAATTGGTAATACTAAAAAACACTTTTTCACGGCATTAGAGGAAAGTGGGGCAGTTTGGCCAACTTAAGAAAATCATCACTAATCATACAAACTTCAGTGGGAATTTGAATAATGTTTAACCAAATGAATAGTTTCAAGCCGTTTTGAATCTTAATTTAAAAAATGTTCGTTTTGTAACCGAAATTAAACCGTTGGGCTAAAATGTACCACCCCGACAGGGTGCTTGCGACCTTGTAAACATCGGGTAAGAATATTCTGCTCTCTTGAGGCTTTATGAAGGGTCAACAATGAACAGTTTTAGCACCGACGAACCGACATGCCACTGGAGCATTTCGTTTGTCCGCAATTCGATTTGTTAAATGAGCGATTTGATCTGTCCAACAGGCGATCAGATCTGTCAAATTAAGAGATGAACTAGCCTATGGCTAAAAGACCCTCTATAATAAAGGAAAAAAAAAAAAAAAAAGATCTGTCAAACGAGGCGAGACGTAAACCAAGTCAATATAAATGTTACGTGTGTACGTGTCCTTGCTCATGATATGTCGCTATCGGATGAGTAGGTGGCGTCTAGGGCAAGAATTTGAAAGTAGCTTCTATGAGACGTCACGTCGGTTCGTCGGTGGTTTTAGCATAAAAAGATTTATTAAATTTAAGAAGTACTGCCTATTTAGGGCTATATTTATGAAAGGAATAATGCAAAATTGAAGAATTTAAGTTGAAATTTAAATGGTGCTTATATTGCCCTGAATGGACTTAAGTAATATTTTGTTACGAAAATCTTTAAGTTATAAAAAAAAACTACTCATAGACCTTATTTGCTGATTCAGGAATCTTATAACAGTTTTGACATTTTGAGCTAGTCTAACATTTTTCGAATATTTGCTCTAGAGAAAAGTATGCTGTTAGACTTAAATGAAATGGATAGTTGAAGTAGGCTTCAATAAGTTGATTTTTAAGCGGGTGGCCACTTTGCCCCTTTGGCCATATTGCCCCACTATACCAAACGACTGTTATGTCAAACGACCATTATGCCAAATGACTGCTATGCCAAACGCGGTAGACCCTTTATTTCTTATGTCTAATGCTCTATTTTTTCCTCGCAGATCAACTACCTAAGGGTAAAGAAGCCCAAGCCGGTTGGAATTGTGAACGTATTTCACACGTTGTTTTCGGACGAATCAATGTACAGCTACAATTACTCTGGTATTTGCAACCATGGGTCAGGGCGGAAGGCCATGCAAAACTACACCATCTTTGTAGACTGCATGTTGGGTTAGTTGGTGGCGATTGGTGCGGTACTAGATTGGTCCTAATGCCTGTGTTGTTAATTTCATCTACAGAAGCCTGGAAGCACCACGGAATTGACAAAGCACACCTCAAGCAAAATCTCAACCAGGTGATCAAGAATATTAACGGCCGCAAGAGGAATCGCAAGTATTTCGCCAAGCGGAGGGTGAGGAATAGAATGCACAAGCTGGAATCGGCAAAGGAGTAACATTATTGAGTCACGTGTTGAGGTAGTAGATTCCGGCTTTCATTCATCTCAGTGATCAATTTCGCTACAATAATCTGGTACATTTTTGTAACTTCTAGAAATAAGCGGCCCCGTTTTGCAATTAACTGGAGGATTGTTGGTTGAGTTGAGTAAAATAATGAACTAATAATAAAGTTTGCGAAAAAACAACCACGTGTTTCATTGATTAGTCTCATTGCAAAAAGACACCTTTTACTATAGATTGCATTATTTCTCACACTAACGGTTTGTACGCATTTTGCAGCGACAGCCTCAACCGTTTCAAATCTGATGGAACCTACCATCAAAATCGAGGAAGACAGCGTGGAGTTCGATGAGTATGCTTTCTACTCGGCGCACAACGTCAAGACCGATGACAGCAGCAACGATAACAAAGCTGCACTCCTCACTAGCAACTGCAAACGGTCGGCTACGAGGATGCAGATCGAGGAGCTTTTCCAAATTTCCAGCGTATGCAACCAGAGCCGAAACCTGTTGAAGCAGCCCTTTCCCATCCAGACTGTGAACGAACTAAACGAGCTTGACACCTTATTGTTAGGGAATCCAACTTTCATGGAAAAATGCGTGAGCTTACACTTTCCCCTCCCTTTGCATCGTAGTAGTAGAATGGAACAACCTTAGCTAATGTTTGCCATTTTTCAGGCACAAATGCTGCACAACGCCGTTCGAAACGAAACGCTGGAGAACGTGACCGGGCACATGCGGCTCCTGCTGGAGTTTGCCGTCGATTACTCGGTATTACTGAAATACAGCTGGTTTGGATTTCTTCCGAGATCGCCGATCGCACGGGGCATGGGCGAACAGCAGCCGTTCCGGAATCTCATCGGTGTAATTCACCTGTTGCATCGGGCTAGGCGGTTGCGTTTCGGCAAGTGCAGCCTGGAGGAAATTCACGAGGGCATCGAAAAGTTCCTCAAACGGAAATTGCGCTGCCATGCGCTGTTTGTCAAGAAACAAAACTACGTCATTCAGGGGTCGGTGTAGACTGTAGACCAAAAAAACAACGGATGCCAAACATAATAAGAAATTGATTACTAGTCCTTTTATAGAAAGATAATTTATTGTAGCGCATATACTAACCGAAGACGGACAAAACACGCAGAATTTACCTTCCTAGTTTATACGACAGTATTATACTCCTCTAGAATTTAACGAAACTTGATGCCATGTACTCTACAAGGAGGAATCGGGTGCTTCAAAAGCACTCGGACTAGTCAGCTTATAACCAAATTTGTGGAGGAGAATCGACGTTGAGAAGCCAACTAACTAGGTTTAAGTTTTATCGTTTTTAAATTATTACAGATCTAGCAATTCCAAAGTATTTATATAGTACTGCTTACATGTTTGTACAAGCGTACTATAATGCCGTTATACGCTAGAAGATTGAGCAATTGTGCCAATGGCAGTATAATACTAATAGGCATTGCATTTGTTTATTTTTTTTGTCCTAACGTCAACAGACTCCCAGTGATCCCAGAGCAACATACCAAGTAAAGTCAACTGTTGCCGAAGGAACATGTGGCGTAACTCTCCGTGCAAATTAAATTGAGAGTCACGATACACGACTTGGCTTTTTTCACCTCACAAGTGACAGAGAGTCGCACGACTCGCAGAGTAGGGGGATTTGTGTCGCAATGCATATTTACCGTCAAGCAAGGTGTCTTTGTTAGAATAACCAGGGTGGCCAGTTAACCGGGAAAAAGCCGAAAAGCTTCCGGGATTTTCGATGACAAATCAGGGAAAAACAAACTTCGTCCTCTCTATGATAAAAATAAGATTTTGGACCTTGAAAAAATGTCAAGACCTTTGGACTGGAGTAGATTTTCAGCATACAGTCACTAATTGAATTATAATTAGATTTTTAGAAAAACAATTTTCCAATGATTCTTTGGAGATTTTAAAATATATTCCTGGGTTAACACCAGGTCAGAGAGAATTTCAAAGGGAGTTTAGCGATGAATTCCAAGAAAGTTTTGACAAGATGTCCAAGTTCAAGTGAATTTTTAAGTAACTGTGTGGAAAACTCCATGAAGATTGTGAAGAGGATTCCAGGATCGTTGAAAAATACCAAAAGAATGAAATTTTGAGGGTACACTTCTAAAGGAACTCTGAGAAAAGTTTTGAGCGAATTCGGAAGATAATTCTAAGAGATTTTGAGAAGAATTTAGAAGAGAATCCCAAGATAAGCTTGAGCAACGTTTAAAAAAAGCTGAGGTGAATTGCATGGGAATTCTAAAGAGAATTCAAGCGAATCTTAAATAGAATTATGGATGGAAGCTTCAGTGACTTCTTAAGCTGGGTTTATACAGGGCAAGTCAATTGATCAAGTCAGTTGAATTCAACTGACTAGAACGCGAATTGGACGTGTAAACCATGCCATTCAACTGACTTGATCAACTCACTTGAATTGAACAAAGTTGAACCAGGCTCAACTTTTCAAGCCAATTGAATTCAACTGAGTTGATCATTTGACTTGCCTAGTCTAAATCCAGCTTTAGAAAAAAAAACATTAAAATTCGAAGTGAATATAAGGATGATTATTTTTTTAGATTGTTCTGCAGACATTCATGGCAAATCTACATTCATTTGCCTCTTACTTTTTCCATAAACAGAATTCCTAAAACTTTTGTGAATAGCATAAATCAGTACCTCTTAAGCATGACGAACTAAAGCGGGCGGAACTTGTTATTCCCCCTTATTCTGCGCCGCGAGTGAGGTGAGGTGACTCGCTGTCACTAGTGAGGTGACACAAGTCACCACGAGTGAGGTGACTCTCCATTTGATTTGTACGGAGAGTCACCTCACTCGCGGTGACTTGAGTCACCTCACCTCACTCGCGGCGCAGAATAAAGAGGATTATTTTTCAGTGAATGTTATTTACATTCACTGAAAAACAATGGAGGGTTCTGTTCGCTCTGATTCATTTTGCATAAGAGGTACAGATTTGGGCTATTTACAAAAGTTAACCTACACAAGCTTTATACATAATTTTACGGAATTCCGTTGATGGAAAAAAGTAAGAGGCAAATGAATGTAAATGAATGCACGAAATGAATGTAAACGATTTGTCTTGACTGTCTGCAGATAATTTCTGGACTCTGGAGAAATTTTCAGGAGTCTCCAAGAAAGAATCACATAGGTACTTATTTTAGATTATTCCTGACAAGAACTCTGTGAAGTGAAATGATTGTAAAGTAAATGCTTGAGAACATCCCAAAAAAATCTTGTTAAGAGTTTTGAGCGAATGTTCTAAGTATTTACAACATTGATAAACTTTGAAGCCTTCTAACGCAGAACCAAATTCAAGATTCAAGAAAAATACTACACTGAAACAAGGACCATAGTTAGGAATACTATTTTGCAGAAAACACTTATTATCAATATAACCACGCTTATTACCCAACTAACAATTTTAGCTGCAACTCAGCTTATACAGGCAAAAATTAGCTGCATAAGGCAAATTTTGGCAGTATAAGCTAATCTGCAGCTAAAATTGTTTGTTGGGTTACTGTTAAATCTACTATGAATTCAGTTTAGTTTACCATGAATGTTAACAAATTTACTATGATTCTAGCAAAACTACTATGCTTGCTCAAAATGCATAGTAATTTTAATAGAAATAATAATAAAATTAAATGAAATTGTTTTCTGCAAAAATCTATTGGTGAGGGTATTTAATTTAAACCAGCAATATAGTATTTTTGCCAATGGATTTTGTTTCAGAGTACTGTCTTAGTAGGGTAAGTGACCCAATAGTGGAGGTGTTATAACGTGTTATAGTAAGTAATCGATCAAAAATGCATGTTACTCCATTTATCCTGAGAATCTGCATTAATTATGGTACCGCATCTATAGGAGCGTTAACTCAATGACCCATTCAACCAGTTATCCCTTCGGCAATTAGACCTGTGCGCCGGTCATTTAATCGGTAGTGGCGGCGCCGTAGAAGCTGTTTTAGCCTCTGCGTTGACTTTGTTTTGTGGCGTCGGCGGCGTGCATCTGCGAATCAGTTTGGTCGTCGTAAAAATATCGCATTTTCAACTTGAATTCAAGTCAAATACAGGGTGCGTGACGAATTTTTGCAGTAAATGGCATATTTGAGAAAAAATACACCAGTTAGTTATTCTAGCAATGAATTTTGTGCGATTCATTTTCTTTCGCAACATATGGAAGTTGTAAGTAAATTTATTCAAAAAAATTACCTTCCCTTTCGACGACTGTAGTTAGACGCTTCCGGAAACTGCAGTATGCACGTTTTAAAATGTTTCGATCCATAGATGTCATCACTGCCTTGATTTTAGCTTTTAGCGACTTAAGTGTGGTGTGAGGGGTTCTATTGGTATCCCGTTGGACGACGCCCTATACAAAATAATCCAACGGATTGATATCGGGACTGCTTGGGGGCCAAATTTCTTCCTCCCAAATTTACGAAATATTTTCCGTAAGCCATCTTTACGTTTACTCAACATTGTTTGTTTAAATCTTACACCTAACAGTATAAGCTATCCAGTGCTGCCAAATATATCTAAATCATGATGCACAAGCATGAGAAATTACTATTTGAAATTTACTGCAAAAATTCGTCACGCACCCTGTACAAGTAAGGTAACACAAATGAAACTCAAATATTTTATTGGTGTTTATGAAATGTTATAGACAACATCATTTGACATTTGCTACCGAATATACTATCGTATCTTTTCGGAACTATAATATCTAAGATTGTTTAGATGAATGGATGAATGCTCGATCTTTGTAAGCGAGTAAACAATATGATCAACATTGATCTTAGTTTTGAATTTCTTTGTTATTTGATATTTCCCGGGTAATTTGGAACCCAGGGATGGCCAAACTGGCCCTGAACACTCGACATAACCAACTGCCATCGGTTGTTTTGTTATTCGAGCCTCATGTTATTTGCGGTGTTGCTAGATGTGTTATACCATTGACAGACATACAAAGTTGTGCCATAGAGGTAACTCTAAGTTGTATCAACTCGCTAGATTTAACGTTTCTCGGTGCGGTGGTTATCAACAATACAACCTGTTAGAACTCTGCATTGAACAAATTCAAGAAAATTGCATCGCTTAGCTGCAGCAATGCAAAGAGAAAATCGATGAAGAGAATCGATCATCGCGTATACGCCCTTATGCATGCTAACTGTCGATTTATTCAATGCAGCAACAATCAGGTTGTATTGGTTATCAAACGCAACAGCAAACGCACCGAGAAACGTTAAATCTAGCGAGTTGAGCTTATACCACAGACAGACATACAAATTAGTACCATTGTACTTGTTTAATCTAGTACCTAAAAAAGTACAATTTGTGGTACTAGCTTAAAGCAGTACAACCATAGAGGTAACTCTAAGACCACTGGGTCCCGAAGAATATCATTATTATTTTTGGCTCACTCAGTACCAGAACAACGGTCCCAAGCAGTCCCAAGCTATTTCACTCACCCCTGCATGTCCTGCATGAATCCACACACCCCTGATGTTATCTGTCAAACTTTCATAGCGAATCAAAACAAACATAGTGTAGTAATAGAATTTCAACTAGAATAGGGTACTTTAATCGTTTGCTTGGGACCAATAGGCTACTAAAGTGGTGAGCCAATTTAAAATCGTTAGTTTCGTATTGATTGTTGGTACAACGGTAGTACAACAGTGAACTTTGTATGTCTGTACAAGGTATTAACTAGCAAACGCTAGAGGTTAGCAAACGCACCGAGAAACGTTAATTCTAGCGAGTTTTAAAAAAAGAGAAAATCGATGAAGAGAATCGACCATCTCGGTTACGCTCTTATGTATGTTCACTGTCGAACTGATTGATTACAGTTTGAGACTCGAAAAGTCTACTGAATATTCTGAGGGAGGGATCGTTTGTGCTTACTGGGCAGAAAACGATGGGTTTAATCCCAAGCTCTCCGTCATGACTCTTAAAATGCATGATCACCAAATAATCACTAAACAAAATGAATATTTTCTTTCAATAGTACACGGCGAATGAGAACGACCCAAATTTGATTTTAGTTCACTCATAATCGCCAAAAGTGCAGGAACTCAGCGATGAGTAAAATTTGTCTCATGGTTTCCTGTGGAAAACCTAAAAAATCTGCCGGAAAATGAGAATTGACCAATATTTTATTCAGTCTCGGAGAAGTACCAATAGACTGAGTAAATCCAATCTTTACTTTTCTCAAATTTGGGAATTTTTCCCTGGAAAATACAGGAAAACCCTGGGAAAACATGAGGCAACTTTACTCATCGCTGAGTTCCTGCACTTTTCGCGATTATGAGTGAACTAAACTCAAATTTGGGTCGTTCTCATTCGCCGTGTAGAGTGCGCCATGCGAGTTCGAGAGGAAATCAAGCTGAACATTGCATTAGGTCCTAAGTAACATTGACGGATTCTCTTCGTCGACTTTCTCGTTGTATCCCCACGGCCATGTAAACACATTCCCAGGTATTTTCAGCACACAGATCGATAAAAGAAGCTTTTATCTAGCATCTAATATGACAAACACAGCAAGAAACGGTTATGTGCTCATGTTATTAAGGAAAGAGAAAGTCGACGAAGAGAATAGATCAATGTTACTTAGGACCTAATGCAATGTTCAGCTTGAAATGTCAACCAAACCGTTTGTTTACATCAGAATAAGGGTTTTTCACAGTGCAAATTCGACAGTGAGCATGCATAAGGGCGTATACGCGAAGATCGATTCTCTTCATCGTTTTTCTCTTTGCATTGCTACAGCTTAGCCTCGAGCTTAGCGAAACAATTTTGTAGAATTTGTTCAATGTAGAGTTGTAATAGCAACAATCAATACAAAACTAACGATTTTAAATTGGCTCACCACTTTAGTAGCCTATTGGTCCCAAGCAAACGATTAACGTACCCTATTCTAGTCGAAATTCTAGTACTACGCAATGTTTGTTTTGATTCGCTATGAAAGTTTGACAGATAAAATGAGGGGTTATTGGTTTTTCCTATGTTTCGAGGGGTGATTCGACAAGCTTGGGACCGAAGATAGTACCAGAGGTGAGCCAAAAAGTTGAGCACGTTTCTTCGGGACCTACTTGTCTTAGAGTTACCTCTATGGTAATAGGTTGTATTGGCTTTCAAAAGCAACAACAAACGCACCGACAAACGTTAAATCTAGCGAGTTATTAAGAAAAGAGAAAATCGATGAAGAGAATTGATCATCGCGTATACGCCCTTATGAATGCTCACTGTCGATTTAAAGCATTTCTCGATGAACATTTCAAATGGTCCTATCTGCTTTGATCGATTCTCTTCATCGACTTTCTCTTTCGTCAATAACTCAGCTGCAAAACCTTTCCCTGTTGTATTTGACGTTTTGGACACTAGATAAGAACCTCCTTTATCAAACTATGTGGTAGAATTAGCGCGAAATCTGTTTGCATAGCAGTGGTTATGAAAAGAGAAAGTCGATGAAGAGAATCGATCAAAGCAGATAGGACCATTTGAAATGTTCATCGAGATTTTTCATTGAACATCTTGCCACTTTCCATCAGTAATTGTCTTATTTTACGATTTTCCACAGATCTGAACTGATTTGTACTAACTATTTACGCACAAGAAATCGGGAAGATCATAACCACTAAGGAATTATTCTAATTTTCCATTTTTCTCAACAAAAATATTCCTGAACACCAGCAGGATCCTTGCCAAAACGATACAGAACATAATTTTTCAACTGTAGATCAAGTTTTGGAGCATCTCAGATGAATCAATTTATCAGGAATAGTGAAAAATTGTTCCGCTTCCAATGTCTCACGACAGAAATTTCTGCTCACAACACTCTTTTTGAAGTTCTCTTATTCACCACCAGAGGCTGAATCGATCACTTAGTTTGTATTAAAAATGCGTAGAGAGATGAAATGAGCAACACGTAAACAATATATCAAGAGCAAATTTTCATTACGTCGAATGTAACAAAGGTAAACAAAGTCGAGCTATCAGTGTCAATCGATTCTCCTGCTATTACACTATATGTTGTCCGAATATAGGATCAAATCACATTTTTAAATTTATTTGCCAGTCAAATTGCTTTTTGACGTAATCACCTTCCGATCAAAATAGTTTTCGATGTTACTCAAGTCACCCAATTTCCACAGACAAACAGACATAACACATTTAATATTTCTCAATGTAAAACATCGTCGCTAAAACATTACCGCCATCTGTTGAGTACACTGTGGTGGGTAGTACGCTGAAGAGATGGCGGTAGTGCGTAAACGTCAAACGCAAGGGAATTGACTATGCGCGCCACAGGTGGAGGTACTACCAACTGCCATACTTTTAAATTGACCATTAAATGCTTGTTCGATGATCAACTTGCGAGTGTTATGTCTGTTTGTCTGTGCAATTTCTATGGAGATGCCGTTTGACTTAAGTAACAGCGCTGAGAAATCCGTGAAAAGTGTACGTTCGTTGTTTCGTTTTCTCATTATTAAAGTGAATAAATCGAACTGTTTGTTGCTAAGATGATTTCGGTAGTCCTAAAATGATGAATGGGCTGCACGTAAGGAGACGTAATTGATAATTCTCCCGAATATCCTGGTAAATACACTTTGACTTAAGTAACAATAGGGGCCACCAAACGACGTATAATAACTTTTGACTCAAAAACCAGTATTTTTTAGCATGAAAGCTAGCGATTTGCATTTGTATGATTAAAACCCTGCTAAATATGTTAAACATTGCTATCACTATGAGATTATATGTGTTTACTTTGAAATAGGAATAACTTTTCGGTCATCAAAACAAAACTTTATTTTTCTCGGATTGGTGCGAATGTTACTTACGACATAATGAAAATTTGCTCTTGATATATAGGGTTAACTACCCCATTTCCGTCCTATTAAGCACAACCCGCACTTATTCTTTCTTAATCTAGCGCAGTTTAGCACCAAACGGAATGTTATTATTACTGATGGCTTCCAAATTTATTTACCTTTTCGTATGTACCTTAAGATTTGATAAAGAGAAACCAATCGTTGAGATATTGCCAAAAGTCTAACACTACTTCTTGACGCCAAACTCGGCCTAACGCATTGAAACGCCAATGAATTCACTTCGGCCTATCGGATGAAGATAAAAATAGATTCGGTCAGAGCGCTTCTTTTGTTTTTGGGAATTATCGGTGCAAACCTTCATATCACGCGTTCTCATTGACTTTGTTCCGTAGCTTATGAACTAAAGTATCGTACCAAACGCATAATTGACTTGTTAACTCTGAAATCGTGGATTTATTTGAAGTTTTCTGCTCGATAGACCCAAAATGGGCGATTAGGCCGAAGTAGTTCTCTACCCTACTACTGGCAAACAGACGTAGCTCTTCAATCTGGATCATCGTTCACGCATGTAACGATTGATTTGAATATTATCATGTGCGCGAACTGCGAAAAGCTCGAGAGATGTCGTAGCTAATATTCTATTTTTTTAGTTACGTCTGTTTGTGTATATACTTTTGGGATTCTGTGACACTACCCCGAATGTCACTACCCCGAACGCCATAACCCCGAACGCCATTACCCCGAATGCCACTACCCCGAATGTCCTACTACCCCGAATGGCCATTACCCCGAATGCCCTACTACCCCGAATGGCCATTACCCCGAAATTAAGACAAATGAAAGAACAGCAAGGGGTCAAAAGAAGGGTACATTTTTAGAAGGAAATTTCGTTTTGGAATTTATACTGAATACAAATGATAATTTTTTATTGGAATTTTGAAGCTTGCAAGCGAGCAAGCTTGTTTTACGCGAGAAGCCCGAGAGATGTCGTTACTGAGGCCCTATGTTTTGAGATACTATGTTTTCAAGAAAAACTTTTTCAAAGTGTTATGTCTGTTGTCTGTTGTTGTCTGATTAGTTTCACTTTACTAAATTGATGATACACTACGTTTACTTTTATGGAACTATGAATTTATCAATTCTAAACCATTTTAAAGCTCTTTAGAAAATGACAACCTTCAAGTTTTCGAGCACTTCGTTCACCATTTAAAAAGTCAAAGGGACTAATATGCAATCCAATTCAATATGCAATACCAGTCGGAAACTGTTAAACCTTATCAAAGAATTGTTCGACCTGAGTCTAGACCAGAGTTGAAGAATTTCTCGTTATGGATTGAAAAATCGGTGCATGGAACGTTGAACCACAAACGAAGTGACAGACGGAGCGGCTCGAAAACTTTGGTGACTAACCTGCTATTGCAATTTTTCAGTGTACCACATGGCAACACCACTACTACTGGATTGTACCACATGGCAATACTACTACTGGATTGAACTAGCATTTTCACCAAATGTACTAGAATGTTTTGGTTCTATCTCTTTCACTCTACTCAAAACTGAAATGCATTAAAAAATGATAAAATGATACGCACTCTTTGCACACTGTCAAAGAATCATTGTACACAAAATCAACTTTGTTCAAATCAAAACAAAAAAAACTAACCCATCTGGTGGATGATGGCACAAGCTTCCAAGAAAATTCTATTACAGTGAACCACATTATTTTAATGGATTTCTTCGCCAGTTAGTCGTCTGTCACTTCGTTTGTGGTTGAACTATCGATTACAAATTTATAACATTATTCCACACGTTATTATCCCAAATGGTCATTACCCCGAATCCCTTGCCAAAAGCTATTGATTACATATTTTCCTTATATATTAAAAGAAGGGAATATTCCCTTCCCTTCTTTATCATACATCCAAAGAATAAATTATTTTCTTTTTATATATTCAAAGAAAGGAATATTCCCTTCTTTATCGTTCATCCAATAATTAATTATTTCCTTTTGTTATATTTTCAAAGAAGGGAATATTCCCTTCTTTATCATATATTTAACGAATTGATTATTTTCTCTTTTATATATTAAAAGAAGGGAATATTCCCTTCTTTATCGTATATCCAAAGAATTAATTATTTCCTATTGTTATATTTTCAAATATGGGAAACCCCCTTGAGCCATTAAGGGGCTGTTCATTAACTACGTAGACAGTTTTTTTGGGATTCTTGACCCCCCCCTTCCCCTGCGTAGACAATTTTCCATACAAAATTTTTAAAATTTGTATGGACCGTGCACAATTGCTCAAATTTTTGGCTCATCTCTGGTACTCTCTTCGGTCCCAAGCTAATCGATGCACCCCTCGAAATATAGGAAAATCCACTAACCCCTAATTTTATCTGTCAAACTTTCATAGCGAATCAAAACAAACATTGTGTAGTACTAGAATTTTGATAAGAATGGGGTACGTTAAGCGTTTGCTTGGGACCAATAGGCTAGTCAAGTAGTGAGCCAATTTAAAATCGTTAGTTTCGTATTGATTGTTGATGAAAGTTTGACAGCTAAAATGAGGGGTTCGTGGATTTTCCTATGTTTCGAGGGGTGAATCGATTAGCTTAGGACCGAAGATAGTACCAGAGCTGAGCCTTGGGACAGTTAAGAATCTCCTTCCAACAACTTGATCAGTCAATTGGTTAGAAAACGAGCCATCCAATAGGAAGATGCCCCAATAAATGGGAAGAAGAGCCCGCGCTTTATCCACGAAATGTTAGCAACAGGGAGTTGACATTTTCACTCTCCCGATCCAAATCGCTTCCCTTCCCAGCATTTATTGGTTGATGTAGTTTTAAATTAATATTTTTACTAGCTGAGTGTTACCGGCCTTGCTCGGGATTCAATATTAGCTTGAGTTTATGCGCCAATTGAAAAAATGCTATATTGTACGTTGCACCTCCCCCCCTCCGTTATCTAAGGGGCTACCCCCTATGACCTCCACATGCCAAATTTGGTTCCATTTGCTTGATTAGTTCTCGAGTTATGCTTACAGAAGGGGAGGGGTTTCGAACCATCATAAGAACCTTTCCCTGCCCAAAAACCCCTGCATACAAATTTTCATTAGTTTCCGAGTCTATAAGCACCGACAAACCGACATGAATGACCATAGCAAAAACAATAATATTTCTGACCAAAGCACACTACTGACATCTTGCTCCGTGTTCGCGGGAAATATTTTGCTAAGCCATGCACCCACATGCAAAAGTTTTGAATTGGTTCGTGTCTGATCTACTCTGGACAAATTATTTTTATCTAGATCAAAAAATCCTATGGTTTTGACAGTTCGGATCACTGAACATTTAGATTGGTAGTTTACGATTTTCGGGCATAAGTCAGAATTAAGTGTCATGTCGGTTTGTCGGTGCTATAAGGGTCAGACAGACAGACAGAAATTCATTTAAATATACATATATATATGCAAATGCTATAATTTTTGGGAAAGTATATACGATTTTGTATGGGATTGTTATTCTATAACTTGATAATTCTATAACTCGATGGTCCCTTCAATATCGAGTTGTAGAGAGTTCACTGTAGATACATTTTTTAGAAAGCAACTTTTGTCATTTTTCTAGATTATAAACTTTGAACAAACTCTTTCTGAACTATGTATGAACTCAATGGAGATTTACGTAGATCCGCACTAAAACAATAGTATAGAAATTCTACAGATTTTTGGCAGCCAGATACACATTGAAGAGATTTTTTGGGATAAAATACAAATTGAAATTTGAAAAAATGTGGCAAGACTGCTTCTAAGTTACTTTCAAGATTCCCCTAAATAAAATTATGATTATCTCTAGAATCCCTAATAAAAATTACCATAAACGAATGATAGCCCAAATAATTGAACTATTCCACAAATTGTTAGGATGATATCCCGAACACGCCAGCAATTTAACCATAATATTTTTATCATGGATTCCCTTGAGATTTTTTGTTCATAACAGTCTTCGTATTTATCTGCATACTATTTTAGGATCGCACTCGAGGCAACCCTACAATTATCCTTAGTATTATCAATAATTCTCTTTAAAAGTTACCCTTTGAAAATTTACTCTTGGAATATTCATTCCTACACTGAGGAAATATTTCGTTCGAATTTCATACGAAATGCTTATGGATTTTAACCAAAAGAATTTGCTTTGAATTTTATACGATAGCATTATGAACGCACGCCTTCGTTATCGTTTATGATTTTCGCTATATATTGATATGAGTTTCATAAAGCTGTCGTATGAAAATAGTACGTTATGATTATGAAAACTATATTTCATTCATATGGATTTTGAATGAGTGGAATACGGAATACAATCGTATCAACTATGAAATCGTGAATATTTATGCTCCTTCAGATTTTGTTTTAATATTCATGTGAAATTAATTTAATTTAGTAGTAAAACAAACAATTAAGTAATTGGATTTGCATTGCTTATTTGATTTAACCTGCAGCTAAAATAAATCAATTGAAAAAATATATTAGTTTATATTAGCACGAGACAATGCCTGAAATATTTTTTGCTTGGTCCACGTTATTAAGGCTGCCGTATTTACACCACACTCTATAGTTTTAGTCGAAATTCATTGATTAAAGGAAGTGTGAAGAATATGCTAATTTGTACCGGGAACATCCTTTTACACTGAATTTAGCGTTTTTTACCTCTGAATACAGGCAAAGCTTCCACCGGACTTTGAGATCCGATAACAATCGCTGTTCGTACGCCATATGGTTTTGCTTTGAACAAACGTCATACGATCGTTTCATACGAACGACATATGGTTTTTTTCACACAAGGTAAACTAAGTCTCGTATGAACTTCAAACGCGTTTCGTATGAAAATCATAATTGAGACGTGCAATTTGTATAAGCCTGCTATGGAAAACATACCTGTCGTATGAAATAATTTTCACAGTTCAAAATGCTCGTTCATACGAAACGTATTATAAAAATCTTAATTTCTAGTTTTCTCAGTGTAGAATTCTCTGAAATCCAAATAGAATTATCATAGAATTCTCATCAGGAATTTTTCAGGAATAGTGGCTTTTAACATTTCAAAAGGTTCTTTTTTCCATGAGTTTCGGACAAAACATTATAAGAAATTTAGGTTTTTAACATTTATTAAAATTTTGACTTGAGCAAAAACAATAATATTTCTGACCAAAGCACACTACTGACATCTTGCTCCGTGTTCGCGGGAAATATTTTGCTAAGCCATGCACCCACATGCAAAAGTTTTGAATTGGTTCGTGTCTGATCTACTCTGGACAAATTATTTTTATCTAGATCAAAAAATCCTATGGTTTTGACAGTTCGGATCACTGAACATTTAGATTGGTAGTTTACGATTTTCGGGCATAAGTCAGAATTAAGTGTCATGTCGGTTTGTCGGTGTTGAAATTACTAAAAACTTTTTTTTGTAAATTTTTCCTAGAAAAACATTATTTTTGCTCTACAACTTTGTCTCAGACGTCATTTCGATCAGAAAGGCCGTTTCCGTGCTTAAATTTTTTGAAAAATTTCAAATATGCCATTTTGTAAAATATGATCAGCACGGAAAACAAGATCGACGGAAAAAACAAACCAAAGGAAAAAAAATAAAATTGTAAAATATGCCAAATGTAAATCATCATTGTCCACAACAAACAATTACGCAAAGTTTCATCCAAATCGGAGAACGACGATTCAAAAATTCATTTTTTTTTTGCTATTCTGCCTGAGAACTGATCAAAGACCTCTTTTTCCGAATGGTGATGGTTTCGGAAATGTCGATCTTTTGTCTTAATGTTATTCTAACAAAGACACCGTAAAGAGTAGTTAGACAGTGAGCGTAAGACTGATGCAAAATTTTAAATTTTTGCTCCACAGTGCTCTAACGGTTTCAAATCAGGTCCTGATAAGTCTCTCAAAATTTAAACTCATTTGGTAAGGGTAGAAGACAATGATTAAGAAGTTTGGTTTTCCCATAGTAATTCCCATATAAACTTGAAATGGTTTGTGTCAAGTCAGTTTCTTACTAAAGTAGTTCAAATTTTTGGAGGCTAAGCAGGACCCAATTTGGAACCGTTTAAGCACTGTGGAGTTAAAATTCAAATTTTGCATCAGTCTAGTGAGCGTTCATAAAGGTCTAATTGCAATTATCGAGTCTCTTCGCCGAATTTCTCTTTTGTTAATAACTCGCTTGGATTAACACTTTTCGGTGCGTTTTCTGTTGCTTTTGACAGCCAATACAACCGCTTACAGCACTACATTGAACAAATTCCAGAAAGTATGTAGTTGTTTCACTGTAGCAATTTAAAGAGAAAATCTATGAAAAGAATCGATCATTGCAAAGTAGGCCCTTATGAACGCTCACTGTCGAGTTAATTTCTGCAAGCACTAAATGTTCCTCCCTGATTGGTATCGATCGTACCCAAGCAACCACGAGCGGAGATACTGCAAATCAAGAGCCACATGTGAAAAGGGCATACAAGCTTTTTGTAATGTAGCAAAAAGAGAAAAAGAGAGACTAGCAGCTCCCATGACACAAAATTTTAATTAAAAAATGTAGGTATTGTAAACAACCAAATATTGCTAATTTTAAGTTAACCACGTACGTTCTAGTCACAATGCACAATTTATTTAACAATACATTCAAATGAACCTAACTATCCATGTGCCACATACTTTACACAACGCCGTCGATTCCCTCCACAAGCAAAACTACAGAATAAATATCAAATGAGTGTTAGTTTCTTTTGTGAATTTGAGCCATGATTGATAAATAAATATAACTACTAAACAACCAACCAACATTCGTTGTTTCCAATCATCCACACTCCGGTCAAACATTCAAACAAATGACACATGCTTTCAAATTGAATATTTACTCGCAGGAAAAAACAAACGCAGAAAGTCCGCTCAATTCACATCCACATCCACGTCCGGTCGAACTGGCCCTCGTAAACGTGAACCGTACGTCCTGCTGCTGCCAGAAGGAAAAATCGTCGGTGTCCGCACCGGAAGGACGGACAGTTTGGACAAGTACAACAATCCGTACAGCACCGTTTTCAACATCGAACACATCCTGCTCGATCGGGACCTGTACGAAAACAGGAACGGAACGCAGATTCTCCGCTACCTGAAGGAGGGCTCCAAGCTGACCGATTCGGAAAACAACGAAATGGTGCGAATCTGTTGCGAACATTTGCAACGCTGCGATGGGTGAGTGTTGCTTGTGGGGAAATATTATCGGTACAGTTGAAATAACCCACTAGCGACAGTCGATTTTACTCTCGTTCTGTACGTTAAACAGCACACTACCACTACTTCCGACGGTGTTCAGCGTACAGAATGTGGGTTATTCCGGGTTTCAACTGTACCGATAATACTCTAGATCGAATCACTTTGCTCACTAAATTACCGCTCCCCACAGCTCAATGTACCCGGACACGTCCAAAAAGGAAATTCTGGCAAAGTCAATTATAACGACGTTCCCGCAGCTGACCAGCGAGCATCATCCGGCGGAACCGCATGCCATCTACTTCCATCGCAAGCTAGAGCATGTGGGTGATGATCGACACTCGGGTAAGATTACTCATCGTTTCGATACGATTATCCGGAAGGCTAATGGCAAGCATCGATACAAGAAACCGAGTCACATTATTATGGGATGAAGAAGATGAATGTGGCTTCTAATTTAAAATACATATTGATTTTTTTGTATTTTCATTCAAAAGAGTTAGTTCATAATATCTGATTGTAGTAATCTTTGAATAAACGGTTATTAGTGTGAGAATGTTTGATATATACATAAATCCAAATCTTCAAATCAACATTAAGAAATAGCCAAGATTGGCCGAAGTCCGAAAGCATTTGGTTTGTTTTTAGATGTTGGGTAGCTTATATGTATGTACAGGATTCCCAAAGCAAACACTTTAAAATGCTAAAATTTTAATGGCTATTAGTGATGTTTTTGTTAGTTCAGGTTGTTTTCTAAAAATCAATCGAGCAAATAAATAGCACATTTTCCTTTCCTTCCCTTGATTGCTCAGATGATTCATACCTTATTTAGGCAATGAAATAGGCCTGTTTAGAGAATTCCCTCCTTGGTGGGGTTGGTTTGTTTGCAATCGGAAAAAAAGACAACTACAACTAACCTACAACTACTATATAGGTACAAATTGCTTATCAAAGCATGTTCTGATATATTACATTTATGTGCAAATTTAGTCTTAATTTCGTTTATTCTGGAATCTATTTTGGCAATGCCTGCCTGTTCGTGTAAATTTGTTATTCTAGTGTCGAAAGGACGATCGAGGATCATCCTAAGCACTCTGTTTTGTGTCACCTGGACTTTGTTTCTGTGATTTTGAGCGCTTGACTCCCACACCGGTGCAGCGTACAAAATTGCAGGTGCTATGATTTAATTGTAGACAGCCAGTTTGTTAACCCTAGAGAGGTGAGATCTGCGAGAAATCAGCGGATACAAACACCTAACTAAGCTTGAACACTTAACTAATGTCTTTTCTATATGCTAGCGGAACAGGAGCTTTTCATCGAATACCATTCCAAGGTACGTAACTTCAGCAGACCACTCAACCCTTTGCCATCCATGACTACTGTGCAAGAAGGTGTCGGTATCAGTTTGGGTGATTGCCTATGCAGGAACATGATAGTTTGGGTTTTGGAGGCATTGATTTTGATTTTCCAAGTTTTTGCATAGTCAGCAAAGGTGTCAAGGCATCGTTGTAATTTGTTTGTAATTTTGCGAGGCATTCTGCCCTTGACTGATATCGCGATATCGCGGAAGAACACGCAACCGTCTCCGAGGGGAGGAATGTCAGAAGTATACAAGCTGTAGAGCAAGAGGCCCAACAAGCTGCCTTGCGGAATGCCTGCCGGGATGGAAAATTTGTCTGAAAGACAACCATTCAACGATACCTTGAACGACCTTTGCTGAATGTAGTTACGGGTAATTTTGACCGAATACAACGGTAAATTGTAGTTACAAAGCTTGTATATAAGTCCGTCATGCCAGACATTGTCAAACGCTATTTCGACGTCTAGCAAGGCCATGGCTGTGGACTTGGATACAGCCTTGTTACTTCGGATGTTGTTCATCACTCGTACTAGCTGATGAGTGGTGGAGTGCCCCTTCCTAAACCCAAACTGTTCCGGTAGGAGAATATTGTTTTCCTCCACAAACTTGAGCAATCTATTGAGAATGAGTTTCTCGAATAATTTGCTCAGTGCTGAGAGGAGGCTGTTCTATCGTAATTCCTCCGGAGGCACGGCACAAGGGGATTAATCTACATTTTGGACGCATTGCGTCACCTGATTTTTTAGTGGACTTTGGATAGTATGATTGCCTATCGCATTTGCTTTCTCTTGTGGGGTAATGAGCCGATTGTCATCATTTCCGACTCTGAGAGATGGAACGAATTTGGGGTGAGTTTTAAGCACCTTGGCTACCGTTCAGGAAGCAATCTGCCTGTCCAGATCGACCATTGCACGTTTTTAAACAAGATCACCAGTCCTCTGCAACTGGTCTCTACACACATTTCTCAAGCGAATCGGTAATTGGGTGTGGGAATTAATACCCCTCACAGGAACTTGTCGCCGGCGCCGGTGGTGTAGTGGTAAGCGTGACTGCTTTCTCACCCCAACGGGTCTATGGGTTCAATCCCAGCCGAGGTCGGTGGGATTTTTCTGAGGCATAACAATCTCTGGTCACGTCTTCTTTCGGAAGGGAAGTAAAGCCGTTGGTCCCGGCCCATGTGTGTTTGAATGGGTGCGATATCCTACGCAGGTGTGGAAGCTGCTTTCCTGCACATTCAATTGCCGTTCATGGATAGCAATCGATGTCCGTCGGTGATTGGCACTAGATTACGGAACAGAGACCGACGTTAAATAAAGGAAAGAAGAACAGGAACTTGTCGAACACACGTCTCGTCAGCCACGGATGTGGCCTGGTGGAGTCCTTTCAGAGCCCGGTCGATGTCCTCTACGGTGTCAAGCGGTGGATTTTCAAGTGTTAGGAGGCCCAAGTCGATACTATGCTTGCGGAGGAACTCAGCATGCTCGAGCCTTTTTGCCTCGCTTTTTGCTAGGGGCAAGCAATAACATTTAACTCCAACGCAGGCAACGACTGTAATTAAATTAATTCCATACTGCTTTAACAGGGTGTCTACTACCTGGAAAAACCTGGAAAACCGGGAATTTACAGGGAATTTTATTTTTTCTGGAAAAACCTGGAATATTCAGGGAATTTTGGTTCCATTCAGGGAATTTTCCAATTATCATTTCATTCGTAATTCAAAAGAAGTTTTTCGTTCAGTTTCTCGAAACGTTTCTTAAGGACACTGAACTTGACAAGCATCTGACAGATAAGACAACATGTGCGAACGAGACAAGCTCATTCAGAGAGTCTTGTCACGCTCGCTCTTCGCTGATTTGTATGTGGAGGATCAAAATGGTCGTAAAAAGGAAACAGCCGAAAAAGAGAGACTGGCAACCGTCAAAAGAAAGCATACGAAGCATGTATTGTATAAGAATAAGCATGCCAGACAGCAGGTCTGAGAGCCTACATAGATTTTTTTTGAGCTTCAAAGAGGGTCGGAGATCTACTGAGAAATTTGTTGAGCTTTAGGGTAGTTCGTAGATCTTGAGAACAGAACTACAAACAAATTAAAAGTAATTAACAGGAATTCATAAAAACAAAATCACGAGAGAGGTTGTAGATCTTCAGATAAATGTTCAAAGAAATTTTCAAAACTTCAAGCAAGCAAAAATAATTTCAAATCAATTTGTAAAACTATAAGCGAAATTTTGCAAATCTTCAGAGAAATCCGCATAACTTCAGACAACTCCAAGAATCTACAGTGAAATATAAAGTATTTCACAGCAGTTTGGAGATCCTCGAAACATTATTCAACATCAGAAAAGTTCGTAGATCTTCAGAACAAAGCTACAGAACTTTGAAAAAAATTACAGGACTTCTGAAAAAATCACCACAAGAATCTCAGAAATGTTAATGGATCTTCAGTAAAAATTGCAGAACTTCAGGGAAGTTCGGCGATTTAAAAAAAAATTTTACACGATTTCAGGAAAATTTGTAGATTTTAAGAGAGACATTTAAAACTTCAAAGAAGCTCAAATATTTTCAGATAAATTTTGACAACTTTAGTTAATCTTCAAGGAAATTTTCAAATCTTCAGGGTAACCCGAGAGGAATTTACAAAACATCAGAGAAGTTTGCAGATCTACTGAGAAATTTATTGAGCCTCAAGTTTTTTTTTTGTAGTTCTTGGGAATAGAGCTACGGAGCTTAAGACAACTTTACAGAACTTTAAAGATATTTGCAGGAATTTGACAGAAAGTTTCACAGTTTCACACAAATGTGAGATCTTCAGAAAAATTCGTTAAATGTCAGAAAAGCACCTCAATTCAAAAACAAATCGCAGCGAAGTACAAAAGTACAATATTTTTGCAGAACTCCATGGAAGTCGGAAATAGATAGATCTAAAGAACTGCAGAGAAGTCCGTAGACCTTAAGAGAAGTCCGTAGACCTTAAAAGAAGTCTGTAGAACGTCAGAAAGTTCGTACGTTTTTAGAAAAATTTGCAAAACTTCAGCAAAACTCACAGATCTTCGGGAAAGTTCGCCGATCTTTAGATCAAGAATCCACAAAGAAATTTAAAAACATTTAGAAAAGTTCGGAGATCTACTGTGAAATTTATCAAACTGCAGGGCAGTTCGTAGATCTTTAGAGCAGAAATACAGTACTTCAGAAAACTTTACAGAATTTGTAATACATTTTAGGAACTTCAGAAAAGTTCAGAGGGTAGATCGTAAATCTACTCAAAAATTAGCAGATGTTTAAATAAATTTTCAGAATTTTACTGCGGCTCTTGGATTTTGAAAGACATTTACAGAACTTCAGGTAAGTTCGCTGATCTTTAGAGATATTCGCACAGCTTCAGAAAAATTAGATAAACTTCAAAATACTTCCTAAAACTTCCAAAAATTTCTAGATAATCTTTTAGTTCTTTAGAAAATTGTATAGATGTTCAGAGATATTTTCAGATATTCATTGAATCATGAAAATTGCAGAACTTTCGAGAAGTTTGTAGATTATTAGAAATTTTGTGAACATCAGAGATAATTGTTGAACTTCAAGGATCTTAAATCTTCAGGGATTCAGGAACTTTGTAGATTTTTAGGAAAAGTTGCAGAACTTCTGAAGAACACACAGAACTTCAAAGAGATCTGTAGAACTACCGAGACATTTGCAGATTGTCAGGAAAGATTGTTGATCTTTAAAGAAATTTTACCGGAGAACAGAAACAAAACTTCAGGGACGTCAGAAGGTTTGAAGACCTTGCAGAATTGAATTGTTAACAGAAACACAAGGAATCATGTATATCTAGTGAGAACTTTTCCCACTAGCTTGTCCAAAGTTGGTATCGACACCCTGGCGAAGTTTTGAAATCCATTTTCATCTTCATATCGCAACTCTTGATGGACAAGATGAGCCAGATCCCTGCCGGTACTCCTCCTGAGCAACCATTTCCTACTCCACAAAGTTCACCTTCTCTTTCTCATTTTATTTAAAATAATAAAAGCAAATACGTATGTCGAAACTAGAGCAATTTTCCGGTAATTAACCACTTCATTCGAGCAGTTAAAATGACGTTTACTACCACTCGAACTTTGAAATAAATCATTATTTTGAGATTTTTTCTTCTAGAACCGCGAGAAAAGTAGCCAAAATTTGTGCGTTTCATAAAAAAAAAATAGAAATTAGTTGGTCCAGTTTTGTGAAATCGCTGGTAGAAAGTCAAGCCAAAACTGCTTGACAAAGTGGTCAATTCATGATGGAAGTATTTACTTTTGATTCCTGATACAGTTTTGTTTTGAAATCTAAATTGACAGTTCTTTCGACATGTGCCAGCAGTGTGAACACCAGCAAACAGGGGGGTTCGACAAAGTGTATCGGAAGTAAATTCGAGCAGATTTTTCATTATGGTGGCGGTCAAAATCAGACCAAGAAATCAGATAGTCTAAACGGACCTTAAGAGATTTTAGACATGTGAAACCATGATTTATTCTGTATTGTAATATTGATTTACGTAATGCATGCTTCTGTATGAATAACTAATGTGATTGCAAAAACCAAATACAATATTACACCCATGGATATAATTTCTTTTCGCAAATTATGTGTAGGATAAATGCAGCAATAGTGAAGGTACTTTAGTGCAATGTGTTCCTATGGTGGTTCCTAACGTACCTCCATTGGTGCATTTAATAAACATAAATTGTACAAATTAATATTAAACAACCTATGTGCATCTGTTCTGCTGTAATTTTCAATAACTTTTTTGCTGTGCCGACTTATAAGTAGCAACGCCCAAGTTTAAACAATCGAAAATAACATAAATCAATAAGTACATAAAAGGGATTCCAGATGGATAAATAGATAAAATAATAATATGTATAATTTGTATGCACCTGGAATTTTTTTCATCCGACCTGGAAAAACCTGGAAAACTCAGGGAATTTGATTCCTTGGATTGAGTAGAAACCCTGTTTAATAACATTAATTACACAATGTAGAACATTAACTACTTTTTAACTCCATTAATTACAGTTAAAATTTCGTAATTAAAGTACATTAATTACATTTTCAATACTTTTAATTACATTAATCACGGATATATAATTTTAATTACCATCAGTACTACAAAACGCATTAATTACTTTTGATTGCATTTTAACTTCAACGCACTGGTTCTTTGTATTGCGTGCCCCTCGCCTTTTTGCTCTTACAAAGCAAGCGTTACATGTGACGACAGTTATCCGTTTAGACGGTTTAGACGCCATACTGAATAATAAACTTACCGAGCACTTGGATCTGTTCGGGCTTGCTGCGGTATTGACGTAGAGCGCTGGTCATGTCGACGAAAATCTTCATCAGCTTCATCAGTTTTGTGCTGATGGTTGTCTCCAGAATTCAGGGGGAACTTTGTCCAGCAGAAGCAGCAGACGTTTCTTGACGAGGGCACCCGTGGATTTGCTTGAACGTGTTGCGTAGCACGAAGAGGCGGTTTGGGGCACTGTTTGTCGGACCCTTGATGAGCGCCACCACAGTTGGTGCATTTGAACATATGACGTTCGATAGAATTATTTACATAATCGGTTTGAATGATTTGCGGTATAGAGTTCTCCAGATGCACAAAAGTGTGCGTAAGACCTTTTTAAGTAGTTGTGATATCGCGATACCTTTTTGGTTCTTCTTCTTCTTCATTTTTATATATGGATGTTGGATTTTAGCGTTCGTGAGATTGTGCTTGGAGATCTCTATAGAGATATATGGGGCTGAACAATAGAGCTAATAAACTATAGAGGAAGAATAGCGCTGCCGTCGCTGTCGAAACATCTTTTCCTTACATCTAATAGGTACACAACTGTGAAAGCGAGAAAAAAAAACTATGCAGTTTGACAGTTCTGTACCCGGTATTGTATTATTCAACATCAGAACAAAAGGAACACCAGCGCTATTCTTCCTCTATAGTATTTATATTAACTCTATTGGCTGAACCAATCCCGCATAAACGCGAACCATCCCATGACCTTACCGAAAATGGTTAAAAATTGTTTATAATCCCTGCTAAACTTTCGAGATGAAAGCACAAACGAAGTGAAAGACGACTAACTGGCGAAGAAATCAATTAAAATAATGTGGCTCGCTGGAAATGAATTTTCTTAGAAGCTTGTGCCATCATCCACCAGATGGAATAGTATTTTTGTTTTGGTTTTGCACAAAGCTAATTTTGTGTACAATGATTCTTTGACAGTGTACAAAGAGTGTATCATTTTGTCATTTTTTTATGCATTCCAGTTTTGAGTAGAGTGAAAGAGATAGAACCAAAACATTCTAGTACATTTGGTGAAAATGCTAGTTCAATCCAGTAGTAGCATAGAGGTAACTTGGTAGTAATGTTGTCATTTGGTACAATCATAGAGGTAACTCTAAGACTAGAAGGTCCCAAATTAACGTGCTCAACTTTTTGGCTCAGCTCTGGTACTCTCTTTGGTCCCAAGCTAATCGATTCACCCCTCGAAACATAGGAAAAACCAATAGCCCCTCATTTTATCTGTCAAACTTTCATAGCGAATCAAAACAAACATTGTGTAGTACTAGAATTTCGACTAGAATGGGATACGTTAATCGTTTGCTTGGGACCAATAGGCTAGTCAAGTAGTGAGCCAATTTAAAATCGTTACTTGTAACTTGAGTTTCTAGAAATCATCGAGAGAAGTTATTGTTTACAAAAGCTGCTACGCCCTAATTCCAACTCTATCTAGAGTTGATACCCTTTTTAAAATATTTCTAATTCAGAGAAAAATTAGTATTTGCCGACAGATTATCAGCTTTAATAGCATGCTGTGACTGTCAGTTGCGTCGAATTATTTTTCCTAAACGGCAATATTGAATAAGATTTTCATTTTGGATTATTAATCAATTTATCATTAGTACACCTCTTACTTCGAAAAGCCTTGCAAAAGATGACACAAGTTTAAAAAAAATAACGCTCGTAACGATTTCTCACGCTCACTTTCGTTCGGTGAGAAGAATTTTTCTTCATCTTCCACAACCCCAGCCCTGCCCATCCAAAAGTCAGTCTTTCATCGAGCTTCACAAAAGAGAGAGTGCAGAAAGTGTCCATCCATAATAATTAAATTTACTTTCATGAGAATACGCGTTTGTTAACCTGCTGAATTTGTATTTTATTTTGCGATCCAGCTTCAGATGCAGTGATTTTCCTGTGCCGCGATACAATATAGTAAGTGCTTTGTTCTTGTTCGCTATTCGAGGGAACCTCGGATCATCCTTTGTGAAAACACCAACGAATTCAGTGCTCCACCTCCCATTTTTCCCTCTTGATTGGAAACTTCCTCATACGAGAGAAGCCCGAAGCTGAAGACAATATCCAATTTTCGCCATCACAAAGATTATTAATAGTCACTGCAAATGCGACATAACTCATGTGTCTATCGTAGATTTATCCTGGTTCATTGCGAGTGACGGAACCAGAGGATCTAAGTGGCTTTGTAAAGGGGCGTCGTGATAGTGCACAGTGCCACAAGCAGAGGAAAAGAGAGTGCTTTCTGGAAGTTCTGTGTGTGACAGCAGCCAGTAGAGCTCGACGGATTGAGGAAAAAGAAGGAGAATACGACTAGCAATAAGACACCCGGAATAGTCACTAGCGATGATGGCTGAGTCAGACAACACGGCGGAAGCGACGAGACGGCTCAACGTAAAGAAACAAACGCTGGACGATGCGTATGCGATTCCGGCCAATTTCCTCGAAATTGACGTGGTAAACCCATTGACGACACTGACCGCCGGGAAGAAGCGCTACACCGATTACGAGGTCCGAATGAGGGTGAGTGTTAATCTTTTCTTTTTTTTTTTGTACTCATCAAAATGTGCATATGTACGTACATGTATATGGGGGGAAGTTTCGAGGGAAGTGATATGATATAGACTTTTCTTGATTTGGGTGCTGTGGCTGTGTTTGTGGCATCGGTGAATGTTTTGGTTTCCTTATGATAAGAATTAGGTACCCTACATACTGGGGTTTGCAGCTGGCATCAGCGCTGCCAGCATGCTCCGCTCTTGATACACGTTTAGTAAACAACCATGTTGATTTTCCGTGCTACACGCATGTCTCGCTTGTTTAGGGAATCTGGAAATAACATAATGACTCATGTGAAATTTAGGAGCAGTTCTAACCTACTAACTCGCTGTTCGAATCGCATGAAAAAGACCACCGAGGAAGGTATTGAAAAATTGCATTCATTTATCACGATATTGACAGTAATATTATGCAGCTTTCATCGCTATCACGAGTTTAAAATAATAAAAAATAATAAATCTTATCTAAGTATAAAGGGAATTAATCATTACAATTGAGGATTGCACGGCTGATTTCCATAATAATATTCTTATGTTTCGCACTGGCATTCTCTTAAAAACAGGTGCCCCATAGGTAAACATGGTTTCGGACGATACATTTGAAGACCCTCAGTTTGTTTTTCAATTGGAGCTTAGATCGACGGTTGATTAAGGCGTCTTAGTGGAATACCTGTATAAAGAGAGAGAGAGAGAGAAAGAATATTAATTTCCATTTAATTCCACTACCTTATTTGCTTATCCTTGACAGATACGCGTATTTCGTCTACAATGTGCAGACTTCTTCAGTGTCTTGTAGTCGAGTATTAGTACAAGACACTGAAGACGTGATACGCGTATCTGTCAAGGATAAGCAAATAAGGTAGTGGAACTAAATGGAAATTACTAATCCTTCCCTCTCTGTTGATGTATTTGTCGTACTTCAGTTTTGTGTTCAGCACAACACCAAGGTGCTTGACGTTGTCCACCCAAGGAGTTGTTTGACCATTTGTCATAATTTCTAGGCTAGGAAGATTCCGCAAAGCGCGCTTCTTGGAGAAGAAGATTCTAAGTTTTGTCTGTGTTGATTTGCATCATCCATTTTTCTGGTATTCCTCCAATGAATTCTGAGCACGCTGCAATTTATCGGTTACTATCTCAGGATCAGCGCCAGAGGCCAAGAATGCCGTGTCATCAGTGAAAAATGCGTAATAGACTCCATCGACCATGATGATGTCAGCAGTGAATACGTTGTACAGAGGAGTTGGGCTCAAAACTGAGTCTTGAGGGAGACCAAAGGGAATCCTATAGGTGTTAGAGCTACCAGCCGTGGACAGAGACTGCAAAGGAACGGTCCGAAAGGAAGGACTGAATAATTTTCGTCAGATACAAGAGACAGTTCGATGAATAAAGCTTGTAAACTACGGCCGCTTGCCATACTGTGTCGTAGGCTTTCTGTACATCAAGCAGAACCATCCCCGTTGATTTTCCCTTGGAAAATCCCTGCTTGACCGCCTGAGAAATTCGGACAAGTTCGGAGTGTCCTTTTTGAACCCGAATTGTAAATGCGGTATAACGCTACTGATTTCCAGGTGTCGGTTTAGTCTGACAAGAATAATGCCCTCCAGGATTTTGCTCAGACTGCTCAGTAGGCTGATTGGGATGTAGTTGGAAGGGGAAGTAACGCCCTTGTTAGCCGATGCATGCTTCCACTTCGAGGAGAAATAACTTAGCATGAGACACGCGTTCAGGATTTTTGTCAGTAAGACAATTTCTTTTCTGGGCGGATGTCACTTCTGATGCGGCTAAGGTCCACTCTTTTACTAGATCCAGGATAGTAAACCGCAGTTATGTTAAGTGGAACAGCACCTTCATATAACTTTACTCTGAGAGCTTCGATCACCTTTGTTGAGACGTCGGATTCGGAGCTGGAAATTCATTTTTTGATGAGAATTGCTACACCCCCACCCGACCTGCCTCCATACTTCGTCTGTCTGCACGAACTATTTTATAATTTTGATCATAGAGAGAATCGTTACTGCGTAACCACTCACCACGACGTCAATATCGTGGCTCTCCAAAAATAGGAGAAACTCCACTTGCTTGTTTTTTTTTTTTGCAATTCACTATCTTAATAGACGCTCTATTTTCCATTGTAGATGCACTTATGGCTACGTATGCCAATGACGAGAAGGATCGCGGTTCGAGGGAACGGATTACGAATATTATAAACGCGTTGGTTAACTTTCGATAAATGATTTTATTCTCCCGATTACACATGCGACATTCACATAAATTGCGCACTAACTAAAACCTCCTTCTCTAGATCAGTTTCCTCTTGTCAAGTGGCAGTGTTGCCACAGAGTCCCCTTCCAGTTACGCCAGGAATCGGACCCTGTGACCCGATGGCGTAACTTTTATTTTGCTGGAATCTTCACTGTCGTTTTCCAATCCCGAATTGTAAATATATGCAGGCTTGATACGGTCCAACGAGATCCTTTTCTTGTTCCCTTTGATGATCACCAGCATAGATTTGTCGCTTCGCTCAATGACCTCAAATGGGCCATCATACGGATGCTGCAGTGGGCGTTTGACTGTGTCCACTCGAACAAAAACATGTTTGCAGGTTTTCAAGTCGTCGGGTACGAAGACGTGCTGTCTGGCATGGTTGTTGGCCTTGATGGGCCCAATCTGTTGAATCATATCTCGCAACGATTTCACAAACTCGGTACGATCAATATCCCTGGAAGAGGCATCGTAAAATTCTCCAGGAATTCGAAGTTGTTGTCCGTAAATCATCTCTGCAATCGAACAGTTGATGTCGTCTCGTACGGCTGTTCGTAATCCAAGGAGGATTAACGGCAATCTATCACACCAGTGCTTAGGGTCTACACACATGATGGCTGCTTTAAGGGTTCGATGGAACCTTTCGACTAACCCGTTAGCTTGAGGGTGATAAGCTGTCGTTCGTAAGCGCTTTATTCCGAATAGTCGAGTCAATTCCAAAAATAGCTCCGATTCAAATTGCCGGCCTTGGTCGGTGCTAATAATCTCCGGTACACCAAAACGGGAAACCCAAACATTACAAAAAGCTTTTGCAACGGTTTCAGCTAGCATGTCTGGCAAAAGAAACTGCTTCTGGCCAGCGACTGTAGCGATCCACCATTGTCAACAGGTATCTGTTTCCTCCAGAACTGGGTAATGGACCGACAAGGTCAATGTGTACGTGTTTGAAGCGGCTGTTAGGAAGATTGAAATCCTTCAATGGTGTTACTGTATGCCGCTGAATCTTCGATCGTTGACAGTCAGTGCAAGACCTAACAAATTGGCCTACGTCTCGATTGATGGATGGCCAAACGAATCTTTCTGATACCATCCTTCTTGTACTTCGAACACCCGGATGCGATAGGCCGTGAATAATTTGCATAACATGCTCTCTATGTTGCTTTGGTACGAACGGTCTAACTCGATTGTTCGCTACATCGCAGTAGACGGGTAAATCCGAATGAACAGACTGCTTTAACTCGAGCTTCAGTGACGTTTGCTTTCTATTCAAAAGTTGCTTCAGCTCTTCGTCATCGTTTTGAGAAGCGGCAATTGCTGCAAAGTTTATTCCTGATGGTATTACTACTGCGTGTACTCTGGAAAGTGCGTCTGCTGCAAAGTTGTTTACGCCACTAATATGCCGGATGTCTTTGGTGAAACTGGATATGTACTCCAGGTAACGTTCCTCATGTGGCAGATGGTTCGACTTGGAGTTCAAAGCGTACGTCAAGGGGCGATGATCCGTGTAGATGATGAAGTTCCTACCCTCTACGAGATACCGGAAGTATTTCACGGCAAGTTTCATCGCCGTCAGCTCGCGACCAAATACAGAGTACTTCTTTTGCGAGGGCGAAAATTTTTGAGAAAAGAATCCAAGCGGCCTCCATGCACCATTTACGAGCTGCTGCAGAACTGCCCCTGTTGCGATATCCGATGCGTCGACCATCAAACCCAGCGTCTTCGAGGAATCTGGATACTGTAACAAAGCTGCGTTTGCCAAGCTGGTTTTACATTTGATAAAAGCTTGTTCGGCCGAAGAAGTCCAATTTAGTTTTCGGGTGTCATTTTTCCGATTCCCAGGTATCAATTCTTGCAAGTGTTTTTGCATTTCAGCTGCTCGGGATATGAAGCGCTTATATCCGTTCACCAAAGCCAGGAAGCGGCGTAGTTCCTTAACGGTCTCAGGCAACTTGTATTCGACTACGGCTTTAACACGTTCTGGTCCAGGTTTAATTCCTTCTTCACACACACGATAGCCGAGGAAATCCACTTCCTTTAGAGCGAATCTACACTTGGTTAAGTTGAGCACCAGTCCGTTCTGTTGAAGGCGTTCGAAAACCACCCGTATGTGATCACGGTGCTCCTCTTCCGAAATCGATGCAATACATATGTCGTCCACAAATACCACAACAAAGTCAAGATCCCCGAAAATGCGATTCATAAACCGTTGGAACGTTTGGCTCGCATTACATAGTCCAAACTGCATTCTCGTAAACTCGAACAATCCAAAAGGCGTTATTACAGCGGTTTTTGGAATATCAGAATCCTCTACCGGTACGTGATAATAAGCTCGCACCATGTCCAACGTCGTGAATATACGCTTTCCTAGAAAGTTGTTGAGAAGATCGTGAATGTGTGGAACGGGATAGCGGTCCGGAATTGTAACCCGATTTAGGCTTCGATAGTCTCCCACAAAGCGCCACTCACCGTTCTTCTTGGGAACACAATGTAGCGGGCTGGCCCAGCTGCTTTTGGACGGTCGACAAATGCCCAGTTCCATCATGGTTTCGAACTCCTTCTTAGCGGCCTTGAGCCTGTCGGGTGCCATTCGACGAGTTTTACAGGCGACAGGTGGACCTTTTGTTTGGGTTACGTCATGATGCACTGCTGTTCGCATCGTCGGAGGCATCGTGATTTCTCGAAATTCTGCAAGGAGATCATGGAACG